AAAAATTCACCATCCTACCGACGCCCACACCCACACCCACAGCCTCAATTAATCTTTATTTTGTGCTATTGAGTGCATTACATAATAAAGACATTGGTTTTATAAAAAAATATCATTTTTTTAAGGACATAATAGAAAAAATCCTTGTAACTTGCAAACGATAATACAGAATAGAAGACTCTGGATCTTCTAATGCGTCGCTCACTTTACTGAGAGCATTTTTTTATATGTTCAAAACCTTTTAGCTATATATTGAGCTAATTGAAGTGTTTTAACAAATTGAAGCAAGTTAATAAATTGAAGGCACTGAAGCGAATGAAAAAATTCGAAGGTGCTATTCAACTCCAGGGATGCCAAAAAAATGAAGAATTTAAAGCAATTGAAAGAGTTAAAAATCTTAAAGAAACTGGAAGAAGCAAAGAAATTGAAGGATTTCAAAAAATCTACAAGATTCAAGAAATAGAAAAAATTCATGAAACTCTTAAAATCGACAGAAACCAAAAGTTAGGAAGTTTTCTTAGAATCCAAAGAAATGAAGAGGTTTAAAATAATAAAGAAGGTCGAAGTGGTTGAGGGTGTGGGTGTGGGGTGTGAGTGGGTGTGGGTGTGAGTGTGCGTTGGGTGTGGGTACTTATGCTCTCTTCATTCACACCTATATAAGCACCCACACTCGCACGCCCACACGCACGCACCCCACAGCGCAACCATATGCACACACTCACACCCACACCCTCAAATAAATTATTTACAGAAAAATGGAAAAAAAAATTACAGAGTAATATTTGCAGTAATGTTTTCTAAGTATTAATCCAGTTGAGATGAGTTGTATGCATATACTAGCCATGTAATTCATTCGTCTCCTTCGATAACAGACTTACTTCTTCGTTGTGATTTCATGACCTTGTAGAATCTTGGCGATGTCGACTTCGAGTTTTGATTGTTCAGGACAATTTTTTTCTGGCAATTTGATAATGTTTGAATGAGCTATTTTGACGCGATTGGCAAATGCATTGTGTAACATTCCACCGAGTTGTTGAATCAAGGTACACCGGCGATGACACGATCATGAATATTTCATAGTTTGTGTTCGAATTGAGGCTTTTTTCCGATCGAATTCTAAAATTTCGAAAATTATTAAAATTTCAAAACCATGAAGAAAAAACTCTCTTCTTTTTAGCTCACTAATCCAACGTTTTTCGAAATAATCAAGTAAATCGTCGGAGTCGTCGTCGAATTGTTCGGCAACGAAATCAAATACAATGGTAATTTCAATGATTGGGACAGAAGCAAGATTGAACGTGATATCATACATTTTGTGAGAAATGAAAAAGACATCTTAAAGTAGAAGTTTTAATTATTATTATACTTTGTTGAATAAGAACAATGTTACCTTTATGCAACACATTCGATAGCATTTCCTTGACCGATCTGATTGCACTAGGTTTAAAGTTGGTCACAATTGATTCTGGTTGAAAATTGTCTTGCGCCAGTATTTTTTCGATGAATAAATTATAATCAACACTGCTTGTACCAATTAATAAGCATTAGCCATCATAGCATGTAATATTAAGAAAGAAAGAGAAACATTTCATTGATAGTTCACCTAAAATGTGCCATCAGCAAACCCATGTTTACATTGCTTCAGAATAGATAAATTACTTTTTCTCGTGAAGATAATTAAATTGTCGTCCTCATGCAAGATGAAGTTTTTGTTAAGGTATATTTTCTTTAATTGTTCTCGTAAATAATTACAGGCTTTGGTTAAGGAAGTGGTACGTTGTCGTCGAGTCGTAAGCATGTGTGGATTGTTGGCCGTTCGCCGGTGGCATTGAATGGAGATGTTCGCAAGGCCAAATGAAAAAGCTGTTAGCGCAATCCCTTGCGGGATTAAAAATGTGAAACATGATGCAGCTGCTATAGCCGATATTCAAAAAGCTGTTGTTTTTATCCATACTGATGTACATTTCTTCATAATGGTTTCCCTTAAATTATAGACATTCAACAGGATAATACTCCATATATGCTTCAATCATATGTTAGTTATGCATCATATCTGATATTTCCTTGAAGTCTTCTATCACAGTCTATAATCGCCCCTGAGTGCTGTCTGTCACGATTTGTGACAGGTCCAGACCCTGTCTGTCACGGTCTGTGACGAGTCCAAAGTCCTGTCTGTCGCGGTCTGTGATGGCTCTAGAGCCCAGCTTGTCACGATCTGTGATGGGTCCAGACCCTGTCTGTCCCGGTCTGTAGTGGGTCCAAACCTTGTCTGTCACTGTCTGGGGGGAGGGGGTGAGTCCAAATTTCTACCCCTGAACACCAACACTCCTTTTAGATCGTGTTTCACAAAATTGAGCTACTTGGTTCATCTGTTGTTGCAGCTTGATTTTTAATTTTGTTCTTTAATAGAATAGTTGGTGAATGATCGATGTTTCAAGCATGGCAGTGAAATGTTGGTTGTGAAAGAAATGAGTCCATTGATAAGTTGGTATATTAGCGTGCTTAATTGATAAAACCATTTTAGTTAGAATTAATTGATTGATATGCAAAATGATTTATACTTACAATCACGATTCTGACATCGAAAGATTAATTTGCCTGCTGTACGCTCCAAAGTGTAGACATAATCTTCATGATAGATCATTGGTTTTCTTTTTTGCAGCACGGAGTTTTTCAATTTGTGACATTGTGCGTGAACAATTGTGTAATTGATGACGAGATTGAGAAATAAAGCGTGTATCAATCTTACATGCAAATAGTGCTTGGAAAAGCATACGTAAGATGAAACAAGTCGTTTCTGTATGAGAATAGAAGCTGAAGGTGAGTTTTATTGCTGATAAACGACATGTATAGCCCGATTATCTATGATATGTTACATTTGACTATGGGGATGCAGTAGTATAAGTAAACTGGTGAGCAAGTATTACCAGTATTTTACTATCACGGGTCCATTCCGAAATGAAGACAATGATAGCTATTGACAAACATTCGATTTATTTTAGCGGTTAGTGGAATAGACAATCGGTTGTCCTGAAAAATGTCGAAACAAAAATGTCGAAAATAAAAATGTCGAAAAACAAAAATGTCGAAACGTAAAGATGTCGAAAATAAAAAGATCTAAATATACAAATATCGAAAATAAAAATTTTGAAAATTTAAAGATCACACTATTTAAATGTTCAAAAAAAATATCAAAAATAACATGTCGCGAAGAAAGGGGCCGAAAATGAGGAATAGGCAAGAAAGCAGGAGGGGTGTGCATGAGGTGTGAGACCTGAGCGTCCAGTTGTGTGACGGAAAGTCATCCAGAATCACATTCTCACGCACCCACATCAATATCAGAACACCCCACATACACCCACATTAACACGAATATACACACATGCATTCACACCTATCTCCAGCGCCTCATAGACAGCATACACTCACACCCATACCCTCACTCTCACCCTCACCTTCACCCTCATCTACACTCTCACCTACACCCTCACCCTCATCTACACCCTCACCCTCACCTACACCCACACCCACACCCTCACCCATATAAACATCCACATATCCACACCCACAACCCTATCCACATCAATATCTCACCTCATACTCACATCCTTTTCGACATTTTTATTTCGACATTTTTACTCTCGACCAATTTCAGGTTTACCAGACAATCTTCTATGTTGCTGCTAACGCTCCAAATTCAATTTTTTTTTCACAAATATATGTAAAAAATGATGCTACATATAAAATAAGGTATTACATTAATACTAATTTTCGAAACAAAAATCCACTAATACTGGTACTGATAGATTCCTAGATTTTATATGCAAATGCAGGGGAATTTGAAATCAAAATAAGATCATAGTAGTCAGACAAGAAAGTGACAAAAGAAGCAGTTAGTCATATTCTACTTCTTGGATTACTAGTGAGTAGAGACCTGTGTGACCACGATTTTTTGGTCACGGTCACAGCACGGTCACGAACCACTTAGTCACGGTCACAGTCACGAAGATTTTATAAAAATATTCATGATCACAGACACGATCTCAGTTAAGATCACAACTGTAAAAATTATATGAATTTTGAAAACTCGCAATTGTTACAATAAAATACAGTTTTGATAGATAGGGGCATCTATCGCTGAATAGTAGAATGGAGATTCTTCGTAGAATAGTGTTAGTTGTCAAAGAGTTCAATGAACTGTGTCAGCGATCGGTAACTCGGCTGAATAAGAAAAATTTCTATGGATTCCTTTTGGTTGAGCATCTAGAAGAATTTTCTTAATCTTAGATGTTATGGCTTGTAAACTACTAACACGTATTCAACTCGAATTTCTTCTGAAAAATGATGACAAATCGGTCAAATTGAAAAAAGTTGAACAAAGTGATCGTCGTTCATCGTTCTTATCAGCGTTCAGCCTTATTCTTTTTAATGATGTAGTTCAACATTTTGTTTTATGTGATCAATGTCGGTCAATTATCACTTATAAGAAAACAACTGGTACTGGTGGTTTGAAAAACATTTAGCATCTTGTAAAAAAGATACATCATCAAATACAACACAATCAAGCATTACAGTGTATTACGGATATAAGAAGCCACCAGTCTTACCAGAAAACCTTAAAAAAGAAATAACTGATGCTTATGTTGATTTTGTAGTATTAGATAGTCGTCCATTCGAAATCGCATCTGGTACTAGATTCAAACACTTTCTTCAAGTGGTTTATGATGCAGGAAAATCATCATCAAGTTTGCAATCAATTAATATTTCTGATTATTTACCACATCCTACGACAGTCAGTGTACAAGTTATGACTTTAAAGTTAAACTATTTTATCATCCTCGTAGGTAAGTCGTAAGATCGACAAAATGTACGAGTTTAGAAAAAAACAACTTATTAGTTGGTGCAAAACACTTGATAGCTATACAGTTATTGTGGACATGTGGACCGAAGAATATAGTGGTAAGCTTTTTTATTTAATAATTCTTATAATGTTTTACTCGAAATTTAGGCATACATTTTTGTGGTGTAACTATTCGTGCAACTGATTCTGATTTTTATTTACATAGTTTTTGTCTTTGTTGTAAACCATATACACCAGAAAATCAAACAGCTCCAAATATTCGAAAGTTTATCGATGAAATATTATCGGAATATGGTCTTTCTCTAAATACAAACTCATTCATTATCACAGATAATGAACCTAAGATTATTGCTGCTCTACGTGGTACTAATCGTGTAGGTTGCAGCGATCATTATATAAATAAAATATTGGAACATTCTTTCACATTATCAAAAAGTGGTTGTGTTGAAGTAATTCAAACATTTGATGTTATTAAAAGTCTTGTAGCAAGTTTTCGTCGAAGTCATCGACAAGTAAATTTGTCAAGAAAGCTTCAGACTTATTGTCCTACTCGTTTTAGTGGGGCTTACTATATGATGGTGAGTTGCCTCTAACAAAAAAATAGTTCTTTGTTCAGTATTAAATGATGATGTACTCTAGAATGTCTTCTAATTAACTTACAATGAACTTATTGATACTTTTAGTGGTTCTCATTATAATGATTTTGAGTCTATTGAGAAAGATTTGTTATCTCATATTGGTGATTTTCTTAAAGTATTTGATGACATGATTAGAACTTTAAATGATGAAACTCAACCAACACTTCACAAAGTTGTACCATTACGTATGGTTTTGATTAATCATTGTTCACCAAAAGCAGATGATGCATTAAGTATTATGATATTAAAAAAAATTTTAAGTAGGTGGAGCATGTAAATACTAAAACTAATATTTATTATGTATATTCGACGAAATCATGTACATTAAATAGAGTTAACAAGCTTTTTAAAATAAATTGACCTACACAAGTTTAGTGCTTCAAAATCAGATATTGTGCAAGATACGCAATCTATAGCCCTTGGCTAAAATAGTCTAATTATTTAGACTTTCTAGAACTTAACTTGTATTTGACTCATCAATCATTTACTATAATATTTCATTTTATAATTATTTTCTAACTCTTTTTATTATATAGAAAAAGACATTGAAATGTAATGGCCAATCCAACCTGAACATTTAATCTCGACCTTGATCCATCCTCGTTTACGAGATTTTTGTGTCAATCAATCTTTGAAAGATCAAGCTATTCAATTATTAAAATCAGCTGTTGTTTCTTCTAACAATTCATTTCATATTAATTCATCAACTTGTGATTCATCTGAATCATCAGGTATTGATAAATCAATTACATGTACAAAATCAAATATTTTATCTTCGTGCTTTGATAAACCACTATCTGATGAAGTACAGCTATGGCTGCAAGGTAATTTTGATTCTGAAATAATTGATGATGATATATTATCATTTTGGCGAAGAAAAAAAAAGATTTTCCGGCAATTGCTATTATTGCTCAAAAAGTGTTAGCTATACCTGCATCTAACACTTCAGTTGAGAGATTATTTTTCTCCATCAAAGTCATGATTAGTGATCGTAGAACACGGTTGAATTCAGAAAAGATTGATAAACTTATGTTTCTATGAAAGAATTTAAATCCACTCAAGTATATGTTTGATTTAAAAAATGATTCAACAACAAATATGTCAAAAAGAAAACCTAATGATGCATTTGAAGATGATGATGATTGTTCTGATATTCTGAAGAAAATTAAAGCTGATGAAGAAGATGAATATGACTTATCAAGTGATAATCATGAAAGTGAAGAAGAATATTTAGAAGCAGATATAGTGTTGTACTTTATATTATTTCATTATTGTTGTTTTTCTTACATTTTTTTCGTTGATTTTAATTCAGATTTAATTTTGAATATGAACTTTATAGAAAAATATATGTTTTAATTTCAGAACTTAACTGTAAGCTGAGTCAGTTTTAGAGATCTGCGTGACTATGATCAATATTAGTCAGTCACGGTCACGTCACTGTCACGCGTGACCGTGACTCGTGACTGTGACCAATTTGCAGGTCTCTACTAATGAGACACATTGCAAGTCATCCCAATCGCCAGTTCATTCGAAGTTTTGGGCCGATCGATTGAACTTGCAATTTTCGATCTAGACTACCTAACATCAAGTCATGTTTTAAAGATCTCTGTTAAAAACAAATGAAAAACTAGTGTGAGATGTTCACTCCAAGTCATCCTCACAAATATTTCACGAAAAAAAAAGGATTTTCATGCAGAAAAATCAGAGTCGACGGCACTTTTCAACCAATATTGATCTTGAGAAATTTTTATTGAGAACGGGTGAGAATAGGAATGCACCGGACCCAAACTTATCGGCTTCGGTTATTCCCGATACCTAAGCGTTTAACTAGCCATGGAGGTGTTTGTGTTGTCACTAAAAGAGATCGTACATATTCGAGTCAAATGAAAGTTTTCATTGTCAAATTAACATGGTCAAAATATTAGCTGCCGCTGGCTTGTCTAGAGGGAGATATTCGATTTTTATGTTACTCACAGTTCAGTATTTGTAAAGTTATGAACTGCTTGTTTTTATGGTTGGTCTAAAATGCAGCAAAATCGTCGTTATCGGTACATATCCAGTTTCATAATTCCTGATTGGCATCAGGTGGAATATTGTATATGAAATATTTTTCTTATGCAAACTTTTAAAAGTCTGATATTTCGAGTGTATAAGTAACTCGACTATGACTACATGTTCATAAAATCTGTGGGTATTCGTGGATGTTTGCATACTTTACACATATTGATCCTTAGGTAACATCAAAATTGAAAATCTCTCTTTAGACAAGGCAAAGGTAGCTAATAATTTAACCTTGTTAGTTTGACAGTGAAAATTTTCATTTGATCCAAGTATGTACAACCCCTTTTATTGACGATACAATACCTTCAATTGTCAGTAAATAAGCATTTCACTTGTTTTATATGTATTTGTCGATACCATTTTCTTCTTCAAGTATTTTGTATTATATATCTTCTATGCATGAATCTGTCAACGGACATAGTCGATATTTCGATTTTCAAAGCGATCAAACTATACCATATCATTTTATTTTCTATTTCTTTTGAAGAGAAACAAAAGATAAAGTTCTTATCTCATCATATCCGTGACATGTCAAATACAATAGGAGACAATTCAATAAAAATAATATCTCTGAAAAAATCTTGACAAGGTAAATGTTATTCTGTTAGCTCTGCTTCTATAAGACGAACACAATGACTAAGTCCATCTTCATTTTTAATTAATTCGCTAATCTTTTTAGCACTGGTTTTATAAATATTATAATTGTCAATCATAAGATCACGAATTGCATTAGTTAAATTCTTCACATTGGTTTGACGTATGGGAATAGATCTTGGTCCTAATCTATTGATAAATATTCGATCACCGTTAAATGGTTGATCAGCTGCAAAAGATAATACTAATGTAGGCAATCCATACGAAAGACTTGTATGTGTTGTACCGGCACCACCATGATGAATTGTCGCTGACATATAAAGAAATAGCCAAGAATGTGGAATGGCATGTGTCAAATAAAATATATTATCAGTAGTGGATAACTTTCTGGCATCTTTGTTTTTAAATCCAACTAATGATATAACTGCTTTACAATTATTTCTATCAAGAGCCAATAAAATTTTGCGTATAAATTCCATTTGTTCATCTGCTCCAAACATGGTACCCATCATTGATCCAAGACCAACATATATAATCTTTTCGTTTTCCCATTTGGTCAAGAAGTCAAGAATAGGAGCTGGTGGTTGAAAATTCTCATTTTCTTTTTCAAGTATTGGACCGACCATATGATCATTTTCGTACCAATCGGATGGACATGGTAGTAAATATTTGGAATAGATCGTTGCAGATACCAATGGCTTACGAAAGAGGGATCGAGTCATTCGATCATAATTTAATTTCATTGGTGGTAAATCTTTAGTGGCACGAAGTTCATTGAGTTTATCATTATAAATGCTTGACATAGTAAAGTCGACTATTTTCCATTTCATTAAATTGGTCCAATTGAACAAACTACCACTTTTCCCACCTAAACCAGGCGGCGAAAAGTGAGCTGTTCGTGTCACTGGAAATGTGTAGATTCCAATTGCTCTAATATTAGGAAATTTCTCAATACAACTTAATCCAGGAAAAATAGACGCAACGGTTAGAACAATTAGATCAGCATCTTTTATACCAGACAGAATTCCATTAAACCATTCTTCAATTATTGGTTGAAATGTACGTTTTACTAATCCCATTTTTAGAATACTTGGATTCCGTCGAAGTTCGATTCCTTCTGGGGTTGTCGATAAAAAATATTCTAGATCACCACCGATTTCAACTGTATCGATACCTGAATAAACAAATAAAAGGTGATATCATGGAAATTTTAATGAAAGAACTCTTCAATATTAGATTTCTATTTCTATTGTGCAATGATACAATGATAATATGGGAGAATATCAAGCGATTGTTGAATTTAAGATTGATAGTACTTACCAGCAGCTTTTACTATGTCTTGATAACGTCGATGTACACCAAGCCATACGGTATGTCCACGTTTTTTAAGCTCTTCGGCAAGAATCATAAAAGGTTTCACATCTCCAAGAGTGCCAGTCGCCGGAATAAAAATCTTTTTACCTCTTGTATTCTTGCTACTGTCATTAATTTCTTTGACAACAAAGCTTTCTTTGTGGCTTTCCGAGTCCATGGGATGTTAATCTTCACTTATATTTCTAAAATTGAAATCAATAATAAATTCGAGTCATGAATAAATAATGTGCTTCACATAGAAATATAATCGCAAGAGAGAGAATAATCAAATTTTATATGTTGTAGATCGGATGACATGAATCGTTAACTCTTAAGTACATAATAGAAAACAACGATCCATCATCCTATTGGCTAAAAGCAATTGAAATGAATAAGGCAAATAAATTGTCAACACAAAAGCTTAAAGTACAATGATGACAAGAAGAAAAATTATCGTGTCACAATTAGAGGTGTTAGCCGCCGATTTTTCGCCGCCGCCGCCGATAAAATTTTCATCCGCCGCCGCCGAAGAGGGAGTTCCGGCGAGGAATTTTTCGCCGCCGCCGAAGAGGGAGTTCCGGCGAGGAATTTTTCGCCGCCGCCGCCGTCGATCGAATTAGAATCTCTAGTTCAAACTTCTTCCTTTTCTGAATAATCAATTAGGCGAGAGAAGAAAAGGTATGAAACATATAAATAGTTGCGTTCGCATTGCACATTCAGTGACATAAATGACATTCTTGTTAACATTGTATTATATCTGGCAGGTGAAGAAAAACTGATTATTCTGCTAGAATGACGCACTGTGTTCGAGATGTTTACATCAAGCTCCGCTCTTTCAAGACCGGTCACTCTCTTGCATGGTCATACGTCGGTCAACTGACATCATTAAAAATGAAAGAAGCGATCGGTAACAATTTAATTTATTGCAAAATTTGCTTTGACAAACAAGTAGATTGAAATGATACTACTATTGTTTCCGCTTCTAGCATACGCTATTGTTATTTTTCAACTTATTGTACCTTAAAATATTGAAAGTCTTGACTTGATGAAAATAAACTGACGTATAGTGAAAAATCTTTTTAGAAAAGGAGATCCACGTTGAAGGAGATATATAATGTTATATTTCTGTGAGAACGGAACGTGTAATGTTTGTTTCAGTAGTAGCGAACCACGAATAAACAGAAACGATGCACGAACAATTTCACCGCCGCCGCTGACAATAGTTTCCTCGGCGGACTTGACGCGCCGCCGCCGCCGGTATTTTGAAACTTTTCCGCCGCCGCCGCCGGAAAAGGGATCGGCTAACACCTCTAGTCACAATTACAATAAAGATAAGAACGACTCATAAAACAGAAACATGCTTTTGCACGCCGTATAAAGTTATGCTATAAAAAACATACATTCAATTACACAGCTGCTGTTTTCACGTATCTATTTTGTCACTGACGCCAAATCTCTATTGAATAATAAATAAGATTTTCACTATTTGAAGTTGCCAGAAAACATAAAGTCTATATCACATAAATGAATATACATGTTTTTCACTTTTTTGCATGATGTTTTCGTGCTTAATATCATACAGCTCTAACGTTTTCTTCGTTATACTAGGTATATAATATGTGATTCTTATCTTTAATACACACGTTTTTGAAAAAAGAGAAAAGAAACGAAGTGCAACACTCGAAAATGTATTAAATTCCATTCATATTAAAGTACTTTTAAAATAAGATACAGAACGAAGTTTACTCTAAAAAGAATTTTTGAGTTTGGAATTTTTCTTTTTTAAAATATTTATTTCTACAATATGCAGCATGGATAGATAATCTTTCTTGAGAATAGATGAATGCTACTGATTTACTCAATTATCGTGTTGCAACTACTGACGATTGTCAATCACTGTCTATATCGGTCAATAACGATTATGGAGGTCAAATGACGCGTTAAGATTGGATCAACGCAAGCGCGTTAGTCGATGGTGTACGAACCAATTTAGATGACATATATAAAATAATGAATGATTCCAATTGACTTATTTTGGTATTTTTTGTGAAGACTGAATTAATCATCATCGGATGTATTTGCTTGCAACAAGCATTAGAGATTAAAACGGCGCATCTAAATATGTTAACTGTGCATCCTGACTTACAGACAAAAGATTATGGAAAATCAATCTTATCTGTGACTGAAATATATGTAATAAACAAATGGAATGTTGATTACATTGATATGCCTGTCGTTATTCAGAGAACTGAGTTAGTTGCTTTTTATAAACGACGAGATTATTCTGATACTGGCCGACAGGAACCATTTCTTCCGAACGAACTCTGTAAACCAAAACGTGACGAACTGCAATTTTGTTTTTTACGCAAATGTGTAAAACCAGTGGCGGGCCCAGGGTTTTTTGATATGCGAGATCTCAGCTTCAGAGCATGGGATCCATATGAAACTTATGGAGGGTGAT